GTCTGTACCTAAACACGCACTGGTCACGCCACGCGAACATCTGGCTTACATGCTTTATGGAAGGATGACAACAACGTTCCATCTGCATGAATATTTGCAACACCCAGCTATGTTGTTTTATCGCAAAGATTACAAGGCAACGGTCTCTATCGCGATTCAATCACATAGTTAACTTTTTACAGAAACATATCATCAAGGATAAGCCAAGATCGACTGTCAAAAGAGCGGTTCCCTAATCACCGTGATAAAAACCTTATATATCACATTGATACGTGTGCACTTTATTGCTAAAACATCGATTGTAAAACTGTCAATAATAATGACGTGTGGCAACTGTGAATGAGACGATATAAAAGAAAGATACAAATCCGTTAAATGTAACTATGATTTTCTTTTTTTCAAATATATAGTTTGCACTTATATACGAGCTTAGGCAGACCCCTAAAAAGAAAGAAATTGATAAAGACCGAGATAAAGAGATATGGAGCGGAGTGGGGGTCATTGAATTTATAAGACACAGGTTGGCCATCCCAAAGCCGGCTGCCGGTGGGAGCACTAACGCCGAAAGCCTAAACTAAAAAAAAAAACACAGCCAAACTAAAACAAAATGCCGAACTACGGTAGTTGTCGTATCTAGTTGTATCTGTAATACTCTTATAGTGTAGTTATTTATTTCATCATGAAATATTCAATAATGGATGGCGTTTGACGCAGGCACAGTGCACAAATATAAGGACATACATTAATAGAAGCAGAATGGGAGAATTACACACACGAAGTATTATTATTATTATTACTATTATTATTATTATTATTATTACCATTATCATTATAAAAACAACAGTATTTATACTTCAGCCCAAGTCTTCGGTGTCGTTCAGCCACGTTTTACATTAAAATTTTAAGTTCAACAAGTATTACAACAAGGCACAATATCGAAACACACATACACACACATACACACACACACACACACACAATTGTTCCACGTCTTACATTAATCACATTATAGCAATCTAAGTTTTTATTCTGTGCCTGAGAGGAGAGTCATGCTAGTAAATAAAGAACTTTACACCGCTGAACAAACTGCAAGAGATACATAAATAACGAAACAATAAATTAATCACAGAACCAGGCTTACCACGTGGAACATTGTTTTACCAGATATCACCGTAACATCCTGCTTCAGTAAATGGGTTACCAAAGACAGTCACACACAACTATGTAAGCAAATAATTATGCGACATCCATGTTATGCGGAAACGATGTGGTTACAGTCTATTGGGTTCTTATTGGTTTTACGTCGAAAATAAACGAACTGACCAATGTGATTTAAACCAAGCACGGAGTATAATGGTACTGCATTTTAATTACTGTATATTTAAGTTGCATACGGTATGCTGATTGCATATATGTTTACGTTCCCTGCATGGTAAAAAAAATCTGAACAGACAAATGTCAGAGCGCACGCAGACACGAATACACACAAACACAAACACGAACAAACGCACACACACACACACGCGCACACACACACACTTTAACATCACATCAACAAGGTTTCACAGCAAACCGAGCGCACCCATGACCTAAAGTAGAATAGTAAATATATAAGTGAAACCAGAGAAGAAAAACATACGCTCGTACTACCTTCACAATAATGTATAAAACAACATAATGCTAGCATCTGCAGTCAATATATACTATATAAACAACTACGAATTATAAGAAAACACATTCAAAATCAAGTGGAGTATCAACTAAGCAAATCTTATATAAATTCACACGGGGCACGTAGGAAAAAAGGTGCAGGAGTGATTCAGAATTCACAAACAAATACAAAATACAAACACACTTCTACGCACTACTTCGGAAAGAACAAAGCCAATCAATACAAGCTGACATGGAATATAGTCTACAGTACGACGCTGCACAACTCAGATGGTTAATAGATTACAACTCGTGAAACCATACAACCCATAAATAACAAACCGTTGGCTTACCAATCCTTTAAAACCACGCACCCTTAAGTAAATAAAGAAAGAAATGAAAAGACTCGTAAATACATAAAATGAATAATGAATGAGTCCCCAAGATAAGGACACTAATCGAACGCAAGCCACGACAGCTAAAATTGCAAGAAGCAGAATCGCACTCCGGCATGCCTCCCCCTCAAACACGTTGCAACATTATAACGGGTTCGGTATACAATGAACTGCACGTAGCACTCTCCACCCGTGCCGCCCTCCCTCCCCTACGCCGAACGAACGAAGGGCGGGATCGACAAATTCAATCAATCAGAAACCCTCCACCCCTTACCCTACCCCCCTCCACCGAGCACTGGCCCCCTTCACCCTCTCCAGCCACCCACACGCCCCCGTCGCCACCGTCCACAAACCCTACATGGATTTTAGACCACTTCGCAGAACGAAAAAAAAAACGTAAGGGTTGTCACTGGTCATCCGAGTTCGGGTGGTCTGTGGTTGGGGGAAGGGGGAAGGGGGGAGGGGGGAAGGGGAAGAGGGCTGTGTGAATGCGGTGGTGGCAGGGAGGCTAAGGGGTAGGGCGGTAGGAAGGCAGGGATTGTGAGTAAATTGGTAGGGAGGTAGAGAGAGGGGGATGCCGACTGGCAGGTTGGCAAGGTGGTAAGATTAGTTTACAAGATATAGTGTCATGGTGCAAGGGAGGTAGAAAGTAGGATGATAAATTGGGAAGTAAGGTGGTAAGACAGCAAGGAGGCAGGCAAGTGGCGTAACAGGTTAACAGAGTCTCGATGCTTCTTGCTGACCTTGGTGGAAACACGGGGCGGCGGTGGAAATGGCAGGGAATGTGGCCGACGAGGAGAGCGAGAACCAGACAAGAGCGGAAGAGACTGGCCAAAAGAGGTGCGTGGGGAGCGCCAGTACATCGCAAATGTACCAAGTTTTAATTACCCTTCACAGAAACGGGACCAAAGCCAGCAGACGAGCCAGAAGTTTTGCCGTTTCGCTGTGATGCGCGCATGAACGAACGGACGCCGTTTCCTTGCAGTGCTGTGACGGCGACGCTGATGGTGCAAGATGTACGAAGTTTAGACCTCTATTGTTTGGGAATGAATATGCCTGGAGGTGGGAATAAGGAGGGGCGGTGAGGGGAAGGGGGGGCGATGAGGGGAAAGGGGGGGTGGCGAAAGAAAAGGGAGGTGGGGAGGGGAGGGACGGAAAGTGAGAAGGCGAGGACGGGGAGTAGGAAGGGGAAGGAACAACGAGTAGGAACAGAGGAGAGAGGGCGAAGATTAGCAAGGAGAGGCATAGAGTGGGAAGTAGGGGGAGGCGTAGGGACGGAGAGGAGGAAAGCGAGACATGAGGAGCAGAGGGTGAGAAGGGGTACAAGTGGCGAGGGAAGAGGGCTCCGCAAAGCAAGAGTCAATCATGCTCCAGGACACAGCAACAAGTTGGAAATAAGTTTGCGCGAAGCAACCCGAGCGGCTGGGAAAGGAGGGTCACAGTAACCAACTCTGGCAAAGGCGATAAAACAGAAAAGAACCTGTACACACAAAAATATTGAGTTGAAGAAAGGAAAATGTACCAAAGTAAATTGTGAATGAGTGTATCACGAATAAACAGACGCACCTTAAAAATTCCGCAGACATCCTGGTTACAGAACCAATCCGTGTCGGTACAGGGACGAGCCAAGAGAAAAATGTCGGTGCACGAAGGGCGGGCGCGGAAGCAGCATCTGCGGTGACGTCACAAAGGCCCGTCAGGCCTACGGGTTCCGCTTTAAGAGATTTTCCTCCGCAGAGAAATCATTCTTCTCCTAAAACCTCTTATCCCCCACCCTTCCCCTCCCCTAAAACCCCCACCTCAATCTTAGTCCCTTTCCCCTAGCCTCCTCGTCGAGCAAGCCAACGACACAGAACACTGTGCAAACCCTTATATTCACAGTCGAATCCACATTGCATGCATCCGAACACACGTACCACAGGAAGTACTCCCCCAACCCCTTACCCCAACCTCCTCCCCCCCCCCCCACTGAACAATAGATACAGCACAATTCTGGTTTCGGGTCGAGCATCTGCATTTGGAATTCATGCGCCGGACGAACAGCTCTCCCAGCCACCAATACCTGACACTCGCTTCCGATTCGCTCCTCCGAACTCGCTCCTCATTCCTCGTAGCCCGTGATATCGCATCAAACGCCCGGCAACGTTTGCATTAAAATAATAACGTTGGTGGGAAATTCTCTCACAAAAAAGAGGGATAAATCTGAGCCGGAAGGAAAGCCAACATATTCCTTCGCAAAAGAGATGAAGTGAAACATCTGAACAAAAGAGTAAATCATAAATACAAGAAAATAACGGAATTGAAAACGAAAACACTTAAACCCACTTTTGTTAAATGGAGAAAACAAAAACAAATAAAGCACAAAAACAAATACACAAATACAAACAAAAGAAACTGAATGCAAACACAGTACAGAAAGCCAAGCACGCGACAACAAGTGCGTAACGAAATCAGCTAAAGGGATAATTGCGCACCTGCTCGGGAAGAGATAAAAGGTCCATTTAATTATGCAAAGGGGGAAACGTCAGCTCTATCGGGCGCGAGTGACACAGGTGTTATTAAGGCCGACGGAGCGAGTAATGGAGGAGTTATTGCAAACGCAGATGAGACGCCGACTAATGAAGCTGAAATAAGAAGGGGGGAGGGGGAGAGAAAGGAGGGGGGGGAAGAAAGGAGGGGGGTAGGCAGGAGGCAGGTCGAAAAGAACAATCGGAGCGTCGGCTACGAATGAATTCCTATTGGAGGCGATGGGGTTTCCTTTTTTGTGTGTGTCTAACAATACCTCTGAAAAAAATGACTTTAAAGAGATCGAGGATAAAGAGAAGAGAGGAGGACACGTCTTCGCCAATAAGACACGAGACACCCTCAAAAGGCCAAAGCAGAGCCGTCTGTAGTAGCAACAGCAGGAGCTCAGCAGAAGCTCTCGCCGGCCGTCCAGACCCAAGGGAACCTTACCTGAGAGTGCGGTGTCCTGGAGGGAGGTGGCCGCGGCTGCCAGGACGGCCCAGGTCTCGCTCTCGCTCAGGGGCCCCCCTCGAGCCTCCACCACTTCCCACAGGCTCACCCCCGGCGCAGACATGGTCCTGCGAATGTAAAAAAAAAATCTGTAATCAAACAATTCTCTTTTTTGAGAACGAACTGCCAATGCACGGGATGAAATCTGCGAATTCGTTCTCTCTGTTGTGGCGGTACAGTGCACCGGCTCGAATCAGTATATTTTTATTACTGCCATGTATATGTACGTATATTTGCCAAACAGTAATTATTTTGTCGAATCTACAATCAACAGCCTGTGTTATATACATTTCCATACAACGTTCCCAAATGAATTTGGCGATTATTCAAGGCAATAAATTTGATGGTTTGCCCATTGCAATTTCAATCACTGGAAAATTACATTGTTCTTGCAATATGGGGCAATGGATTTAATACTGCAATGATAAAACACCTAACACAAAGTAATATAGAAAAGCTCCTGGTTCACGAAGTGCAATTTTAATCACCGGAAAAATGATAAAGCTCTTGCAAAATAGAATTGTTTGATATAATGTTGCACTGATCATGCTGAAAAACACAGCAATATGAAAAGAAAATGCTGTATACTAAATTATATCGCTCTTCATATTACTGCAGGGATTATCTATCTTAAAGGAGTAAAAACAATTTTATATATCCATAGTGTTCACAACTGTGAAGCTGAAACATATATATATATATATATATATATATATATATATATATATATATATATATATATATATATATATATATATATATATATATATATATATATATATGATAGTTCTAATGGAAAGCAGACAGGAATTCTGCACTGGAAACAGGACAGGCATTTTTCATAAGGAACTTCGAAGACTAACGCAGAAAACGCACCCAGAAATATACTCATATGTACTGATGCAACGCCTCCATCTGAAAATATTGTAAATGAATATTAATCAAATTCAGATAATTAGCAAGAGACCCACAGAAACACAGCATGATACGGAAATTTACCCACTTTGTTTCTTTCTCGTGTGTGAGAAACATATTACCTCCATGCATACTACACGGCAACATACGTAAATAAGGCAACACATACAAAGAAGAAAACGACCACTGTTTAGAATTTTTCATCGTCTACAATTCATCTTTCTTCTCGCATACTCCTCCCCAGCTTTCTTTTCCCTCCGATCTCCCGCCCTTCCTCAACTTTTTTCACTTCATCTCCCCTTCCTCTCTCTTCTCCCTCTCCGCACTCATCGACATTCCCCTCTCCGCCTTTACCCCATCCTTGCCGTTCATGTCATTACCAGAAACTTAATTCCTTCTTTTTTCTTCCTTTTTCCCCTCTCCATGATAGACAGGCAGGCTGCCATGCAGAGGGTGGTTTGGCCCGGTGATGACTCAGGTCCTCTTGTCAGAGATAATTGGAACACCTCCGTCGACAGATTCTCTCTCTCTCTCTCTCTCTCTCTCTCTCTCTCTCTCTCTCTCTCTCTCTCTCTCTCTCTCTCTCTCTCTCTCTCTCATATTACACGCACACTCACGTTTATGTGTGTGTGTGTGTATATATATATATATATATATATATATATATATATATATATATATATATATATATATATATATATATATATATATATATATATATATATATATAAATCTTACTCGGTCCATCCCTCCCTGCTCCTCCTTACCGTCCCATCATCCTCTCTCTCTCTCTCCTTCCCCAACTTCTAATCGCGGCTTCCCGCCAGCCCGCCCACCTCTCTTCCCCGCTCTTCATAACCAGCTACTTGGCCCGGTCTCTTCCCCGCCTCGCCCTCGAAGACGATCACGGACGCGGAAGATATCTCAGGTTTAAACTTCCATCACGGCAACCTCGACCGGTATCGTCCGCAGCTGGCGTCGACACCAACTTTTAATTTCCTCGTAATCTCGCCTAAATATTATCTCGTGACTCGAGGTTATCGCTTCACGGCGAGAAGCAGACTGGAATGACCGCGTTACAAGGTCGGCTGACCAGTCCGAGGTTGGGTCAGAGGGGGAGGGGGAGGAGGATGTGGTGGACGAGGGGAGGAAGGGAAGGGGGGTTGGGGAGGAAGGGAAGGGGGGTTAGGGCAGAAGGGGAGGAATGGAAGAGGGGTTGGGGCGGAAGGGGAGGAAGGGGAGAAAGGCGAGCGGGGCTGGGGAGCAGATGGGAGAAGGGGAGGAAGGGAGGTGGGAAGGAGGTGGAAGAAGAGGTGTAAAGAAAAAGATGCAGCGGCAGCTCGCGACCAGCAAGTTCCCTGTGACTCGCAGGCTCCGAGCTTGCCCCGAACGTTCCTGAGAATACGGCAGCGAACTCGCCCCCAACCCCTCCCACGCCGGTCGCCGCCCGTCTGCGACTGTCGCAGGGAGAAACTCGCCCTGGCGGCGGGGCGAGGATGCCCTTGGCGACCGCTCTCGAAGTCCTTCATGTTCGTTTCCGACTGACATCGATCGATCGTGTATCCTTTGTTCAATTGTGTGAGCTTCTCCCTGGTGTCATTACGAACGTCTACCTGGATGTCTGCTCGCTTGCCCTCTCGCCGCCGGCCACTTAGCTCTCTTGATTTTTCGCTCCCTTCGCCGCACGCCGTCTGCCTGCTTCCTGGTTTATTGCTTGGTTGCTTGTGTGTCTGCCAGGGCCATCGCTCTTTTGATTTCTGGCTCCCTCGATTTGCTTGTCCGTGGGCCTGATTCCTTTCACCTTTAATGTTGGGCACGTTTGAACTTTGGTGTCTGTCTGCCTATTTATTTGCTGGTCTATTTGTCTCTGTCTGTCTCAGTCAATCTATAGTTATCTATGTCATTCCATATCTGTTTGTCTGTTTATTTATTTATTTACTTATCTGTCAATCTACCTACCTGTCCATTTATCTATCTATCTATCTACCTTTCTATCAGCCTGCCAATCTGTCTGCCTGATATCTCGTTTTTCCACCCGCCATCCTGCAAATCCCTAATCCATTCATTAAGTCTGTCCATGTTTCTCCTTTGTTCTCTATCCGCTGCTTTTCTCATTCACTTCTCTAATCCCTTTATCTATCTCCATATCCTCATTCATATTACTATGCGTCCTCCCCTCCTTTCCTCTATTTCATTTTTCTTCCGTCACCTTTACTGTAAACACAAAACACAGGCAAATCAGAAGCAGTCAATAAAGTAATGTATTTCGTTGATTTCTGTTTCACCCTTCTTCCCTCCTCCATTCCATCTTTCCAACGACCCCTACTCTTGTCCTAGTTCCTCTATTCCTCCGTTCTCTCCCTCTCAGTTCCTCCATTCCTCTTCCTCTTTCTCTCCCTCCCCTTTCATCCCTTCCCTCCCTTTCTTCCATCCCTGTACCGTACCTCCCTCCCTCTCTACCCCTCCCTCCTTCCCAACCCTCCTCACTCCCCTTCTCGCTCTCCTCCCTCTACCATCCCTCCTCCCAACCCCCCTTCCTCCATCCCTCCTCCTATCCCCCCTCCCTCCATCCCTCCTCTTTCTCCAGTTTTCTCTCCCCGCTCACTCTTGAGGTCGACGTTAAAAATGTAAACCATTTGGAATGTTGCCAAAAATTCTTTCAGGAAGGAATTATGAGATGCGATACGGCACAGCGTGGATGGGAGATGGAGGCCCACGCTACTACGGATCCGTAAATTCAACCTCCTATTCAAAGAGAGAGAAGGGAGGGAGAGGGAGGGAGAGGGAGGGAGGGAGGGAGGGAGGGAGAGAAAGAGGGGGGTAGGGAGGGAGGGAGGGAGGGAGGGAGAGAAGGGAAAGGATTGGAAGGGAGGGGAAGAGAGAGAGAGAGAGAGAGAGAGAGAGAGAGAGAGAGAGAGAGAGATAAAGAGAGCGAAACATATCAAACAGACAGACACATACCCAGACAGATGAGAGAGAGAGAGAGAGAAAGAGAGAGAGAGAGAGAGAGAGAGAGAGATAAAGAGAGCGAAACATATCAAACAGACAGACACATACCCAGACAGATGAGAGAGAGAGAGAAAGAGAGAGAGAGAGAGAGAGAGAGAGAGAGAGAGAGAGAGAGAGAGAGAGAGAGAGAGAGAGAGAGAGAGAGAGAGAGAGAGAGAGAAAGAGAGAGAAAAAGAAAGAAAGAAAGAAAGAAAGAAAGAAAGAGAGAAGGAGAGGGAGAGAGAGAAGGAGAGGGGGGGAGAGAGAGAGAGAGAGAGAGAGAGAGAGAGAGAGAGAGAGAGAGAGAGAGAGAGAGAGAGAGAGAGAGAAAGAGAGAGAAAGAGAGAGAAAAAGAGAGAAAGAGAGAGAGAGAGTTTGCGCGTGTGTGTATCGCATCCAGAATAGATTAATAACCAGAACGCTCTAATGACGCGCCTTATCATGGAGTTAGACCAGGCGGACCAAGACAAAAAGAGCGCATAGGCCTATCCGAGCAATCCCGACACACAGCTTCCGTCCTTCCTTCTGGGGTGATTCCTCCTTAGCTGTTATTAGGCCTGGATAGGGATAATGAGTAAAGTGTGTCTGGCCTAAAACAGAATGGGGGAAATAAAACAACAACTTTTAGGCCTATAGGTTTGGCCTAGCTTACGCCAGCCAAAGTGAGGCTAATTGCACGCATAATCAGTAATCGTTTTTCTTTATTGGAGGCCTAATTGAATGCATACCCGATTTCCGTATCATATGACTCGACTGGTCGCGAGTGGAACGAAATTGGTGGAAGGATGGGGGGGGGGGTATAAATTTGGTTGAGGGTTGAGGAAAATATTATCAGCGGAAGGAGCGGGAGAGGGGGAGGGGGGTTAAGTTTGGTTGAGACGGAGGGTGGGACGGACGAAGAGAATATAATTTGGGTTGAGACCGACGTTATCAGAAGCAGAGGAAGGAGGGGAGGGAAGGGGGGGGGGCAAGTATGGTTGAGGGAAATCTTATTAGCGGGAAGGGGAAGGAGAGGAGGAGGGTATAGTACGGTTGAAACAGCTCTTAACAATTGGAAGAGAGATGAAACAGCTCTTAACAATTGGAAGAGAGATGAAACAGCTCTTAACAACTGGAAGAGAGATGAAACAGCTCTTAACAACTGGAAGAGAGATGAAACAGCTCTTAACAACTGGAAGAGAGATGAAACAGCTCTTAACAACTGGAAGAGAGATGAAACAGCTCTTAACAACTGGAAGAGAGATGAAACAGCTCTTAACAACTGGAAGAGAGATGAAACAGCTCTTAACAACTGGAAGAGAGATGAAACAGCTCTTAACAATTGGAAGAGAGATGAAACAGCTCTTAACAATTGGAAGAGAGATGAAACAGCTCTTAACAATTGGAAGAGAGGAGAAACAGCTCTTAACAATTGGAAGAGAGATGAAACAGCTCTTAACAATTGGAAGAGAGATGAAACAGCTCTTAACAATTGGAAGAGAGATGAAACAGCTCTTAACAACTGGAAGAAAAGAGGAGAACAGCGGAGGGAGAGGGTACAAGATGGTTGAAGTAAATCTTATCAGCAGAAAGGGAAAGGAGAGAGAGAGGAGAGGCTATGAGTCTGGATGAAACAGATCTTATCAGGGGGGAAGGGAAAGGTATGAATTAGTCGAAACAGATTTCATCAGCAGGGGAGAAGTGAGAGGGAGGGGGGGGGGCGAGGGAGCGAAGGGGGAGAGAACGTTTGGATGGGACAGATCTTATCAGAAAAAAAAATTGATTCCACTCAACCGTAGTACAAGGCGCTCGGTCCATTTTTTTATCACTCTTATATTTAATCAACTCTTCATTAGTCTGAATTACTTCTGGCTTAGTGGACAAAAATAAGGCCGTATGTTCGGAGCTTTAGGCCTACCGGAAACTAAGCAATAAGATTTGCTACCTCCCCCCTACTCCAGCCCAAGGGAGGCCTAACGAAAATCCTAAAAATATTTCCTTTTCACGGTAATTTCTCACAAAAGGCAGCGTGCGTAATTTTCATATTGATCTATTGGGTTCTTGATCATCCTTGCCCATCTCTTGGTATAAGTACACATATATCTATGCCTAAATAAATACATTTCTCTATCTCTTTCCCTTTTCCTCCTTCCTTCCTCACTTCCTTTCTCCCCCTCCCTTCTTCTTCTTCTCTCTAAACACACACACACACACACACACACACACACACACATATATATATATATATATATATATATATATATATATATATATATATATATATATATATATACATTATGTACATAGACATATTTATATTCATACAAATATACTTTTTATGAAAATAACCATAAAATGGGGAAATAAACACGTAATTTTCAAAGTAACATCCAGGAGATGGCTCCCGAACACATGGAATCGTTAATTACTTCCAGACCATCAGCCCGTTTAAGTGTTTACCTCCTTATCCCCATTAACATTATACTTGATCATCGTTACTGTCGTTATCATAATCACCACAACTAGCACCACGATTATTCCAAGTCGTCGCGTGCGTATAAACAAACAGTAAAAATATTGAAACCCGTGCCGCTGAATCCATCTCCTGTTTGCCAGAGACACGCGCGTGCAGACAAGTGATTCCCTCCCAAGCATGGCTCCCAGCAACAACGTGGGCCGGAATTAATTTGCTGCCACACCGCCTGGCGCCCCGGGGGATTGCCCACCAAAATCTCGCTATCAATCACTCCAGAAGAGTGGATATGCAAAGATATGCAAAGCAGAATATTCCTCGTTCGACGATTGCTTTATGGGCCTTGCGGGAACTCGGGCAGAAACTCGTCAACGCCTTAATTATTTTACACCGAAGGCGCTCGTGCAGTATTTCCCACACATTAAACAATTCTCTCTCTCTCTCTCTCTCTCTCTCTCTCTCTCTCTCTCTCTCTCTCTCTCTCTCTCTCTATATATATATATATATATATATATATATATATATATATATATATATATATATATATGTATATATATACTTGTATATTTTATATACATATCAATACACACATATATATATATATATATATATATATATATATATATATATATATATATATATATATATATATATATATATATATATATATATATATATACATATATATATATATGCATATTTATATCATATAGTATACAAAGTATGCATGAAAATGCATATATATATATACATTCCTTTCCAATACATTCTCTTTCTCTCTCTCCCTCTCTCTTTCTCTTGCTTACAGTTTCAGGCGCAATCTCAATCAATCACTCAGTGACACTGTAAACCTTACCTCGTTCTCTCTTTCCCCTGTCTCCCTTCCCTCTCCCTTATCTACCTCTTCTCCTCCCATTGCGTTCTTTATCCTCATCTTCACTACCTTTGTTCCTCCCTCTCACGCTCCACTAACCTTTTATCTTCCGCGAATCAGAATCACACAATACACGCCCCGCCTCGCGAATAAACACACCGCCCCGCGTGGTTGTCGCTTGTTCAGCAACACCGGCGTCAACTTTCTCCTCGTTGCTTGAGGCGAATAACTTGGCGACACCTGAGGACATCCCCAATCGACATGGGTTTGCCGGTTATTTCAATCTTGTTACATGCGGTAGAAGAACAGTTTGATAAACATATATAAAGTGATTTTCGTAAGTTGGGGTTTATATCAGTAAACATACATACACACACATACACACAAACAAACACACAAACACACACACACAAAGTAACATGACACAGAAAAAACAAAGTGAAATACAAAGACGATTACATATGTCAACAAGTGTGTCGCGAAATTCTGTTTTCGGTCCACTTCACGAATCCGCCCGTCTTATCATGCGCCTGTCTTCTTATTCCTTAAAATGTGCCGTTTCTTCTCGCAGTGTGTCTGACTCCGCCGTCGATGATCGATATGAGTATCGGCATTCGTTATCTCTCTCTTCCTCTCTTTCCTTTCTCTCCCTTCCTCTTCCTCTCCTTCCATCTCCCTCTCTTGCTCCCTTTTCTATCCTCTTCCTCTTCTTTTCCTTATCTTTATTCACCTCTCCCTCACTCGCTTGCTCCCTCTTAACCTCTCTTCCTCCCTCCCTCACTCCCACTCCTTCCCTCCTCCTTCCCTCCCTCTCTCATACGACATCCTTAAAGAAAAAAAAATAATACCGATAATGAACGACTGACCAGGAAGGGAAAAAAGACTCAAATCTCTAGAAAAAAAAGAAAAAAAATAATACCCGATATCCGACCCGCGAAGCCCTCAGCGACAAAAGCCCTTCACCCGACCCCCGATTCCTCCCGATTCATTCCAGCGAAGCATTTCCCATCGGGCGCGCCTTCTCCCCCCCTCACCCTCCCCCCTCCCCCCCGCCCCCTCACCCTTCGCCTCCGCCGCCGTCGCTTCGCTGAGGACGAAGCGGGTTCACGGCGGGTCCAGGGGGTGGGCGAGGGGGAGGGGGAGGCGCCGCTTTCGCCGGTGTGGGCGTGCGGATTTGTGCCGAGGAAAAAAAATTACTATCGACGGTAAGACATTGATCCGGCGTTTTGGTGTGTTTGGATTCTCTCTCTCTCTCTCTCTCTCTCTCTCTCTCTCTCTCTCTCTCTCTCTCTATATATATATATATATATATATATATATAT